TTTACACCTTTTCGGACAGTTATGTCAACACCAGGCTCACGCTGTAAACCACCAACCAACAAAATAGTAGAACCCCTGGCTTTCACAACAGGCAAAATGGAAATTCGCGGGAAAGTAGTACTTTCCCAATAATATTTTTTCCAGTGAGCCTCTACGAGAATGTTCTCAATAGACAATTACATGTATGTGATAAACCAAAAAGAAAAAAAGAAAAAAAGCATGTTTTTCCGACGCACTTGTTTGAAGGATGGGCAAACGACTAACCCTTGTCACTCTCAGCACGACGTTTCTTTTGTTATCAGAACATTCACAAGTTTTAACCTTTTTCGGTCCTGGCTTTGCTTTGCTTTATACATTTTTCTCAATAACTCATGGGATTTTATATTCCAGTTTGACATTTTGGAAACCGTAACCCAGGTGTAAAAGGAATTTTGGAAAGTCTTTCGACCTAAATGTAAACCAAACAAACTTGATCTGATTATAGCCAAGCTACAGCTTACATATTTTAAAGCAAACAAAATGCACAGATAAACTCTCTTCAAGTGCGATTGTAAACAAAGTTGAGTTGAAATAGGATCTCCCGCTGAAATTTAGGATACTTCGGAAAACATAACCCAGGTGTAAAAGGGTTTTTGGAGAGTCTCTTGACTCAAATGTAAACCGAGAAACTTGAACTGAACTGAACTGAAATTCTCTTTCAAAAGTTGTAAACTGCTCGATGCAGTTTGCCCGAAAACTTCCCCGAAAAGTGCTGAAAAGCGCATAACAGCACATTAAAATGAAGAATACGCGAGATAAATTCATCGTTATCATCATCAATTGCAGCTTAATTGGTAGCCGCTTTGTATTAGCTCCTTATTGTTCATTTTCAGTTCTTCCGCAAGTTCAAATTTCCCTTCATTATCACAATTTTTGTTCCCAGCTAAATGACAAATTAAATCCATTTTATCAATACGTTTATACCTTAACAGTGATAAATTACCTCGCACCAAAAATTATTCTCTCCTTTTCAGGAGTCAGAGCTTGTGTCGAACTTTGCTGGTATAAAGAAGCAAGGAGCTGGTTGCATATGGGATTGGCCGTATCCTTTAACGAATTTTTCAAACGTGATAAGAGATGCAATGCGATGCAATATTTCAAGGAAAATCAATACGTTCCAGCCAGATTCTTCACACATAATGCAAGCGATGTTCTCTTATACTGCACTGAGCAGTTTAAAGAAGCTAAAATTTTCTTAAAGAGTTCTTTCGATTATTCCACGAAACTTTACTCAAAAGAAGAGGCCATTTTTGCCTTCAGACGAGCATCACCATGACGACCGAACCTAAATCAATAAATGCGCTTCAGAGCTAGTTAAAACTCTCCAATAACTTGAAATTAAACTTATAAAGCTCTTGATTTTTAAACCAATTCTCCTCGTCAGCGCTTCAGGAAATGTATAGAGAACAGTATGGAGAATATGCATACTGATGTTAGGGTGTAGATGGTTAAGGGAGACATTAGACTACGAGCAGTCCGTCTCTTTCGGTGAAGTCCGTCTCAAGAGTCAAGAAAATCAGTGGATAAAAAGAAATAAGGTTGAGTGAGGCGCTCATCGAACTCCCGCGGCGCATCCGAGAGCTCCCTGCTGTGCGCCAACACCAATTTTTGTATGTTAGAGGGAACCGTAAAGCATTATGAAGTTTCCTGCACGATCACATGCCAGTCTTTTTTTCACTAGGGGAAAATATCACCATAAAGAGATTAGGCACTGAAAGCACGACGACGCTGATTCGTTTGGCACGAGATGTTTCGCGTCGAATTCCGGCGCTGAGAACCAACATACGCGTAGAGATAAATATGAATATGCGTAGGTATAAACCAACTACTGCATTCACAGGGCTACAAACTATCCTGTACGCGTCTAGCGAAAAAACCGATCGAACATGACTAAAGCAGCCTCTCTACTACCCCCCAGAATTCAAGTGATTACGCGAAATATGTCATACTACAGGAGCAGGCTGACACAGGGGTAAGCGCGTTTTGAAAAATCCAATAACTCTTACGTCATCACTGCGTGATGTAAAAGTACTAATCTTCAGTGAGGTTGTTGTTGGTGAGTAATTTATAACATATGCATCGAGAAAGATGTGGAGACTTTTCAATCTCCCAGTCATTGTCGCTTTGCCCAGCAAAGTTTAATATACCCCAAATGCCCGCGGATACCAGTTATTGTCTGAACGTGAAAGAGATCGCAAACAAGAGTGGCTGATTCTAAGTGAGAAGCTGCGCCTTTAATTCGAAAACTGTGACTGCAAAAAAATATCGAGAGAAATGGAAGATCCAACGATATATGAAGGAGTGTTTGACAACCTTATGCAACAGATTGAAGAAGGTGAAAATGCAGAAGAGATCGTGAGAAACATAAAGGAATCGACCCTACAAGGACGTCTGAAAACACCGGAGAATCCATCGTACTTTATCATGACCATAAACATGAGTAGTAACCACCATGTAAAGGGAAGTGCACAGAAACGGAGGGATCTGTTGTCAGTTATTTTGCGTTCCGCCTTAACTGCAATAATTTTCTGCCAAGAACTACCAGGAAAATTTAAGACAGAAGTTGTTCCAAAGGGGTACGAATACAGAGAAAACAAACCTGAAGCAGCTGTGATGTGGGATAGCAAACATTTTGACGGCTCATCCGAGGGATTAGAGACCGATAACCCTGAATTAACTGAATTGTCGGATAAGAAAGGCCATGCAAGCAAGCTGCTGTCTAGAATTTCGATGGTCAAACTGACGCCTCTTGGGCAGGAACGTAACGAGAGTATTCTGGCAGTTTCGTTTCACGGACCCTACATCGGTAAAACCAAAAAGGAAAGATCTGAGATTTTCCAGAGTCTCGCGGAGTTTCTTGATAAAGTGATTAAATTACGACGTATACGCTCTTACATCGTCGGTGGGGATTTCAATTTTGATACTCAAGAAGTCGAACCCCCTAAAGAAGTGGTCATCGCATCTTTTGAATCATCCCCTCGGTCTAAAGAGAAGCAGAAAAAATCGGCCAGATTTATACCGAACAAGGATAACTTTCTTTGGTACCCGGACAAGGCTGTCATCAAAGTCTCTTGGACAAGAGCCTTCGTGTTCGGAAATGAGAATGATAAAAGCAGTGACCTAACTAAAGAAGACTACAAAACAGTCCACAAATCACTGGCTAAAGAAATAACGAAGAAGACCGATGCAACCGCAAGCGGGGCAACCGGAACAACCAAAGCAAGTGAAGCAACTGAAGAAACCAAAGCGACAGATTTGTTGGATCACGATCCTGTTGTAGGTGTTCTTGTCTTTCTTCCTCCTCCTAAAGAGGTTCGGCAAGATCTCTCAAAAACTTTCGAAAACATATCGATGTCAGACAGTCGAGAGGGAGCAGAAGCTGCTAATCCAGGTACAGAATAGCTATGAATTACTGTTTAAACAAGAGACTATTCGAAGTCTTGTAAATAACAACCCGAACGAATAATATGCGAAGAGATCTCTGAATAGGGTTAACCGATTAGCGACAAAGGGCGAAAAATATAACTGACAACCGACAAAACTCTCCAAAAACTTCGACAAGCGACAAGTAAATACTTAACAATAACTTACATGGTCTAACATCAGCGATATTTGTATTCAAAAATAAGATCATTCTAAAGTTTAGAAGGCAGCCACTTTAAATTTAACATCCAGAATTTCCTGTTATCAAACTTACTTTATGGCCAAGTACCAATCGGGCTAATTTCTAGAACAGCGTGCGCTGCTCGAGCCGAATGACTTTGAAAAATTAACTAGAATTTAAAGTCATTTACTAAGATTTGTCTACTATTGGCAAAGACCGAAAATTTTAACCGAACACCGGTAAAGTACTGAAATTCTAACCGAAAACCGACATCAGCACCCCCGCTTTCAGACCCTCTCGCGGGTGCTATCATTTCATTACCTAAACAACTTATTTTTAAAGGATGATCCAAACGGCCATATGGTCTTGATTGATTTAACCAGCAGCGGCTTGTGTCTGATTTACTGTGTGTTTTCGCTTAGATTAAAATTTGTTGGTTTAGATGCGTTCGTCACAAGTTTGCATAATTTTGTTGTGATTTCGAGCCAGTGGCAATCCAAAGAGTCAGAGAGGTTCAAATGAACACTGTGCTTATTACGTTAACGGCCATATGATCTTGATTGATTTGGCTTGCAGTTGCAGCGAGTGGCTTGTGTCTGATTTACTGTGTATTTTCGCTAAGGTTGAAAACTGTTGGTTTAGATACGTTCGTCACGAATTTGCATAATGCTGTTATGATTACGAGCCAGTGGCATCCTAATTGTTTGGCAATCCAAATAGTCAGAGAGGTCCAAAATAAACATTGTGCTTATTAAGATAACAGCGAGCAACGGTTTCAATCGTAAATTGAAATGTTTAGAATAAAAGTAGTTCCATTTGTTACAAGCCTCAGTTAAAACATTCAGTGTCCGTAGTCATTTAATTTACAAACCTGGGAAATTAATGCCATTAATTTTAATCGAGATCAATTTTATCCGAGTGGATGTAGAATTTCAGCTTGGATCAGTTCTATAATCCACTTTTATTTAGGTGTGCTCGTAAGTGAAACAACCATACTTCGGCGTGTGATTTGCTCGGTATGCATCACTATTTTTGTTCAGACTAATTACGCTATCTGCCTTAGGTGGGTTGTCAATAAATTCTTTGTCGTTTTGATATATCACTGCGTGAGAAAGACTGACTCAGTGGCATATCCATTGTTTTAATGTAGCAGACAGACAGGTGGTGTTTTAAACATTTAACAATTTATAAAACAATAATTTCGGCAGGTATAATTTTTTTACTACAGCGAATAAAATCATTCTCAATTTTAAAATGTTTACTCTGATGATATTTGTAAAGTAGATAACAGTAAACTTCCGCCCAGCCGCCCACCGCAATTTATTTTAATGATTGTGCGATCTCTTTTATTCTTCGATTGGAGAAGTCAAAGAAAGAAGTGCAAAGGACTTCGAAAACTTTTACTGACGACATAAACAAACTAGTCTTCCCTAGTTATTGTTAAGGAATAAGAACATTTTTCAAATCAGTGGCAAAAGTAATTCGGATTTGGATTAGTTTTGCCTTACATCGATCGATGATTGGCTTATATAGAGCAATTTCTAATTGAGTATCGAAAGAAATCCGGGATTGGATTTCATCGCTTCAGTCTGTTATTTCTCTTCAAACTCCCGCTATCTTCTAAACCATTCAGACGCAAAACGTAAACCAATCATGACTTGGTTGCCCGCGTTTTTCCTCGTTTTCCCGCGTTTTTGATAGGTGACCTGTTTACTTTGAATGTTCATTGGCTAATGATGACATAAACCTTTGTTATGATTGGCCGTTAAGAGTGCTTTGGTTTTGGATTTTCGACAGTCAATTGAAAACTGCTCTAACGTCCCTCTATTCAACCAGTCACATGGCGAAAGTAATCCAAGTATTTCATTGCTTTTGCTCGACCGACATCTACGATAGGTGAGGGCAACTCAGGGCAACTCGGGGCACCCACTAGACCAATGAAATACAAAACCAAGAAAAATCGCCACTGATGTACTGAGATATAGATGCTGACTTATGTGAAGTCTTAACACTTAATTACAACATTCCCCTGAAATATTAAAAAAATTTGAATAGCGGTCATATACGTTTTATGTTGTGTGTAGCTCAAAGGACCCATTAAGAGTTCCTTGTGAAGAAGATTGATCGCAATTAACAACATACACTCCTCTTTTCCCGAGACGTTTTGAAAAGGGAAGCTGTTTTGTCAAGTATAGTCTTGAAATGATGTTCGTTACTCTTTGTTTAAGATGTCTTAAGAATTCTTCGTTTCTGAAGGCAAATAGAAACGGATTTAGACAGGCGTTCGTTATCATACACATTGGAGGCAACCATATACGCAATATAAAATTTACCGCTCGGTCAGATGCCAGTCTGGTATTTGCTAAGGCAAATATCACTATGCAAAGATTAGGCACTGCATAGAATATCATGTTAGAAAACACTATGACGCAGATTCGTTTAGCAAGAGATGTTTCGCGTCGAATTCCAGCGCCGCGAGCCGACTTTCGCGCGGAGATGAATATGTGAAGGTACAAACCAACAACTGCAAGATACAAAGCCACAAATAGTAACATTAGTACCTGGGTGGCCATAAAGCGTTTCGTTGTTTGCAGATTTTGCACTAAAACGCACATGTAATTGTCTCGAAACCAGACATGATCAAAATACTCAATAACGAAGCAAGACATCGCGCAAAAAAACCAAATGAGAACGCATAGGAAGCCAGCTACTTTGGGAGTGATTCGTAAATTAGGTCGCATGCAGTATACTATGGCAAGATACCGCTCCACAGTCATCAAGACCGAAGTTAACGCTTCGATCGTTTGTCCTATTATCATCAAAGAACGGAAGTAAGGACATTGGTGCTGTCTCCATTGGCGAATCCCAGCATCGGACTTTATCCCGTGACCAGCGGCTATCGTTAAGGAGAACAAACTCAGGAACAGATCGCCGAGCGCCAAGTGCGCTGTAAGAAACATTGAAGTCTTCTTGATCAAAGAGATGCTACTGAGTATTGTTGCTATGATAACCAAATTGAACAACAATGCAACCACGCCTAGAAAATATTCAATCGCCCTAAGCGACCGCGCCTTGTCATAACAAAAATTTTTATGAGTTTTCCGTACTATCCACATAGGCACAAGATTTAACGGGCAAGATTTACCCTCGCAAGCTCCGTTAAAATATAAGTATTTCTTCTGGAAGTGATCTATTTTTGGCATGTTATATAGAGGTATGAATTCACAGCCTTTGGTTTTCGTCAGCAAATTTCGCGGGACATCGGTTCTGGTGAAATTGCACCGTCTACAGTCTTTTGATGTTGTAGCACCAACGATTGTCTTAAGGGAGGAGTCGGTCAGTAGCAACTTGTTTTTCATTATGTTGAAGTGCCCGTTTCCTGTGACGTCAAGGAACTCAAGTTTTGGAAGAATTTTGAAGAGAGTACCATGCCACTTCTTGAGATAATTGTAGGCCAAAGTCCTGGGTGATGAACATGAAAAACTTTATGAATTGCATTTGATCGTCCTTATCCTTGCCTGTGACACAAGAGAACTTAACCCTTAGCACCCGTGAGTGACCAAGATAGAATTTGCCCCTACAAAAATTTCTGCGCATACCGTCAATACAATATCAAGCAAAAAAGTGATGAGAAAGCTAAGAGATTATAAGTTGACCCAAAGCCAATCAATTCTCCGAACCAACATTAAAGGGTTTGTATGGCAGATAGTAGGGAGAATTCATTTTCACATCCAATTTAACAGAGATATACAAGAGGAATTTAATCCCTCTACCCTTTGGATCCAGATATCACTTCTCTGCACTAGCTGTCTGCTTAACATCTCTTACGATTTCAGCTCTGCGAATTTGTTGTCAAATCAAACGATATCTCCTTGGTTTATTTATACTGTTAGGAGAAATTACTTACATGTATTTCGCGCAGGAGTGTAAGGGTTAGGCCAAGGAATCGAACCCCCCTGTATAGGTCTTTCTTAGGGACCAATGGGTGGGGGGGGGGTTTGGGGGATAATAAGAAGGAGGGAGGGGGGAGGTCAGTCGTCCTAATCAGAGTATAGATTAGGAACTAAAGAAGAAATAACTAGCGATTAACTGCCAATAAAGGGAATAAGAAGAATATCACAGAGCCTCAGGGGTAGGTTCAGGTATATCTTATTACGGCCAAAATCGTCAGACTCCCCTTCCCTTCCCCCTTTAGGCGATAAATGATGATGGAATAAAAATGGAACGTCGTGTCATTACAAGGGCGTCATGGGTACGAAGAACCTCGTTATCAGGGATTCGCTGTGAAGACCCTTATTGCTTGATATATCCATAATACTTCAATAACGGTGAAGTAAATAAGTTGACAATATCTGCGCATTATTTGGTAGAAACTTACAGATACTGTAGTTGTATGAGTCCATTGAGCGCCTCCTCCGCAATGATTTCTATTTTATTGTGATCTAAAAACCTAGAAAAAATAATAGCATCAGGTATTTTTGTGGGTTTTCAATGACCAGTTGTATCATACAATCCCACTTTTTACAAAATTAACCATCTGGTTCTATTCACTGACTCACTGTCAAGATGACTGACTTATGGACTTACTTAGAATTTGGTTGGAGGAATGATCGAATGCATGAATCAACGAGCGAACGAGAGAACGGACAAACGAACGAACGAGCGAATTATCGTATCACCGAACGAACGAACGAGTAGAAGAACGAGCGAACGATCGTATCACCGAACGAACGAACAAACGAACGAACAAACGAACAAACGAACAAACGAACAAACGAACAAACGAACAAACGAACACACGAACACACGAACGCACTAACGCATGAACGAACGAATGAGCAAATGGGGAGATGAATTGGAAAATCGACCAGCGACGGGCGTACTAATGAACCAATCAGTATTGAGGTACAGGGAGACGGACGAGTGTGTAAACAAATGAATAAATACGTGCGCGAGTGTTTGTCTATGTCGATCGTTAGGTGTCATATCGTACTTACAATTTCTTGAGTGATTTCAATCCTTTGAAAGTATTTTCTGGGATGAGTTCAATCAGATTGTTTGAAAGGTATCTGTTGAAGTAGAAACGAGTTAAAAAAGTTGTTCAAAGACTTGCACAAGCAAAGGCTAAGTTGTATATTAAATATGTATCTAATTTTCAGAGATATCTGTAATTTTGTATAATAATCAGATCTGAATTATTTCCGCATTTTGATCGGGTCTTACCCATAAATTTTTGGGGGCAGACACAGATGACGTCACCGCCAACAACGTTTAGGTTTTTTTTTTTTTTTTCATTTAAAACAAGTAGATTCCAGGTTGCCGCGGGTCTGTTCTGTAATAGACCACAGATGAAATTGAATTATGGTAAGAACATGAGTGATTCATTAAGCTTCACCTTGTGCGCCATTCTATAGTTCTTACCGCATTTTGATATCATCTGGTATCTTTTAGTGAAATATTCAGAGGCTCCTGTCAGAGGCTAGTTTAATACTTGAATTTGATCAAAGACTTGAGCTTATTTATTTATTTCATCTTTATTACTCGCATTCCGATTTAAAAATTGCTTCAACAGTTATTTCTTATGAATTAAGGACCTGTTTATATGAAGGTGGGGGACCTCAGGTAGGTGAGGTAACCCGCCTAGGTGGGTTAACCCGTCTGTCCATATAATTTCTTATTTTATCGTGATCACGTTTACATGATAGGTGGGGTGGCCCGCCGAGGCGGGTTGCCCGGTCTGCCAGGTCGGATAACTCGGTCAACCGGGGTGACAATTTTCCACGTAAACGTCTCGAGATGGGGTAACCCGCCTAGCCGGGGTTGCTTTCATGGCAAAAAGCTCAAAAGCGAAACACGTATGTTTTAAAACTTTGTACATTTCCTAGCCGTCTCATGGCAGAAATTACCATAAACTGCAACGGACATACAAGGAGTGTAAAATGTTCACATTTCGGAATATTTAGCGTTATAAATCCATCATGTTTCAAACTATTCCTTATAACGTATTAAGTCAACGGTTCCTCGCGTAACCTAACACCGCGTAACACAACCTGTGACGCTTTCATGAATAAATACATATGTGTCCGAGAACTCATCTTTCGTCTTTCGCGAGACGTGAGCTTGGGACGCCTGTGCTCAAACTCCCTGATTGCAAGCGCAACAACAACTTCAAGAAACCTCACCCCAGCACCCCAGGGTTGTAAGATTGTATGTAA